GACTGTGTGTGTCCTGGAAGATGCTTCTAGAAAAATAAGGGCACAAGGATTATCCATAGTGGTTACAGATAAAGGCCCATCTCTAGTGATAAAAGGAAGGGTAATATAATTAGCTAATCAGTGATGACTGATTACGGATGTTTGTGTTCTTCAACTAAAAAAAAAGCCACATGCTGCCCTGGTACTGTCACCATCTGTTGGAAGAAACAGCCACATTTAATCTTTATATTTCTTTTATTTCATCCACCTTGCATTGTTGCAGAGCCACAATTGCCTACTATTTCATCTGGTTGGAAAACATCTCATTTGAATTGAATACAACTGCAGTTTAAATTCGGGATTCTAATGGCATGGTGAATTAGTGGAAAGCCTGTTATTTTTTTTTTCATTCCTTTTTAAAACAGCATGCTGGGTCGCTCTTTTTCTTAGTTTTAAAAGCTTGTCAGAATTTGTTTGAGACAAAGGGCTATAAATAGACAAGTCATGGTAAAATGATTAACATATTTGAATCAACACATCTCACAAAACTTCCATTCAAACAGTTTTTACTGTTATTATCATTGCTGCTTAGCATTTCGCCAGTGCTGACAGAGGGATACCGACACAGACAAGATGTGATCTCTGCCAAAATATTGGACAAGTGAGGGATAACTGGACACAATATTTTTTGGGGGGGGGATTTAATTTTTCCACCCTGGGAAGGTAGATTCTCCTTGGCTTTCCTCCAGAGCTTAACTTCATCGTTGATACAGGTGCAAATATTCAAAGTCACATTGAAGTCACAGGAAAACGAGCTAGCTTAGCCAAGGTGAACAATTTCAGGGGATCATGGGTTTTTATTTGTATTTTAAAATGTTTTTCTTGGATGGCATTTTAAGTAGGATTAAACCATTTGACCAGTAAATGTGGTCATCTCTCAGAAAGGAGGAGGCTGAATTAATCATTTGTTAGAGTGCCAAGCCCCAAATGAGAATTCCAGTCCTGTAAAATGAAAGGCATCTCATAGTTTAAAAGAAATACATAGTGCTAGAAGGGACTTTTTAAGAACCTCATCTGTTTTTTAGCTTTCTAAGTTTAATTTCACATTGTAGAGAAAAAAAAGAGCACACTCCTTCCAAATGGGGCCCTTTACAGTAAAGAGAATGGTTTTTTGAAACCTGGCTATTAAGATATCATACCTAGATGGATCTTCTTTTAAGTTTAAGGTGTGTTATAGATTTGATTTTTTTTTTAAACACAAGCCCCCATCGTGTAAAACAACTGTTCATAACTGGGATTAATGGTTTGCAATTTTCGGTTACTTAGACATAGGGTCTCTGAGAGATGGCTTTTTGCAGAGTATAATATGGCTCTCTGTGGGATGACAGAAGTTTTCTTCTCTTCCTCCTTCCTTTTCTGTCATCACCCCTCTCCCACATTGTCAATGTTGCACCAATGTTCTCGATTATGTAAAACACTTTCCTTTCATTGGAACAGATTTTTTCTCTTAATTTGTCATTGCGTGTAAGTACTCTGGGGACTGAATTGCTGTGTAAAATTGGTGAGATGACCCATTGCTTTGTTCCAGTGTAGTGGTTTCCTCCAGACCTGCAGAGCAGAAAACTTACCCCGAGGAGGCTGCTCAGCTGGCAGCGGGGCGGCCCTTACCCCGCGTGCGCAGCGGCGTTGGGCCCGCAGTGACCCGGTGGCTCCGTGGGAGGGCGAAGGCCCAGCAAGGGCGCGCACGCTCCGGGTCTCTGCTCTTGTTTACCGTTCATCTTGCCCGCTTGCTCTGTGTCCCTTTCTAAAGAAATGATATCTGATTTAAAAAACAAAAACATGAAACAAAACCCATGGAGGGCTCCCATGAAGCAGCGTCTTACTTCTCTTCCCAGATGATGTTCAGTGAGGTCTGGACACTGTCGCAGCGCGCCTGTTCTCCGCAACCCCTAGGAGCCAGCCCCATAACCCGTGCAGTGCGTCAGCCATTCCTTGAGAAAACGAAATCGGGCCATTTGTGCTTTCAGTGACTAAGAATGCGGTGGGCGAGAGGGGAACAGACACATCCTGGGATCCTCAGGGCTGGTCCTGGAGGCCATTTTTTTCAGTACCCATTAGCCTATTTCCCACGACCGTATAGGAATACGCCCTCTCCCCAGCTTGAGAGTCACTGCCAGTGGTAGATGCGTGACTAGGGGCCCTGTCCTATGTCAGTTGAGCTGGAGCAAAAAAAGAAAATGAAAGTGATTTCAGTGGTATGCAGACATCTTCACATCAAGAGAACTTTCTGTCTACCATTTTTCATGCCAGATTTCCCATTTAGCTGTTATTTATATTGAGGCCCTTGATTTTTGTATAAGCTGAATTACACAATTACTGTTGTCCTTCTCTCAAATGATTTGTATTCTTCTCTCTTAATATGCAAAGCCTAACTCCTTTACAGTAGCAACTTCAATCTGCTGCAATAAGTGATTCAGATTATTTGTTGGTTTCTTTGCACTCTGAGGAGACTTACATGGCTTTTGGCTTACAATGAAAGCATCCAACGCAACTCTCACCAACTACTATGGCCAGTCTGTGTTAGGTTCTTGTTTTTTTGCAGTATCTTAATATAAGCCCACAGAAAAACACTGGAGAGACTGCAGTATGTCTTCCTTTATTAGCCTCTAGAATCCCCATGAGTGTGGAATGTCTACTGTAAGCACTTAAACATTTAAAAATAATATTATTAAACAGATTATGATTTTACTTTGATTATAGTTTTAAAAAAATCTGCCATCTTCTGTCAGTATCCTATTTAGATAACAGCTGTCATTACTTGTATTTTTTGTTCTTTTCTTTTTAAAATAAGAACTTAACTACATGATCAAACTTGACTCTATGGAAGACAGTCTGAGAAAGCTTAGATGGTATATTTGAGTAATTGCACTTTTATATTGCCTATGACCTCTCTGATCAGAATTGTGTTGATTTTTAAGGAAATTAAGTTTTTTTAGTCTCTTCAGTATTTTGATTATTCCTTCTGTCTACCTGTTGGTGAAAAACAATTTTCAGAATTATTTTTAATCAATACAAGAAAAAAGAAAGTTGCTGTAAAAATAGTTTGCTCTTCTATGCAGTTAGGCTGCTACCACTAAGGAAAAAAAACTCCAGCTTATCTTAAAATAGTAAAAGTACTATTTTAAAGTACATAAAAAAACAAAGTAACATAAAAATAGAAATGTTTTAAATAACAGAGCTTGAAGTAATGTTCCTCATCATTAGTACTTGTTATCAGTCTTCACCAATGGGCTGAATTTGAAGCAGGAAATGGGAAACCCGGGTGTTCTTCACAAGTCTCCTGTCTCCCCTACTGGTGCTCTCAGCCCTGACTGGGGAAGCTTCTTGTTGTTCAGCACAGGTTCACTGAGCAGGCATTTTGCTAGGTGTTGTAGGAGATGAAAAGCTAGCAGAGATCTCCAAGACAAAGCCCGCTGCTTAAAAACTTCCACAGCTCCTCTTCATCTACAGGACAGTCTGAACTCTTCAACAAGGGACAGAAGACTTCATAATCTGGCCCAAACTACCCACCTCCTTCTGTCTCAGATGCAGCAGGACCATCTAGAGGCCTCCAACCAATCTAAGCAAGTTGCAGGTCCACAAACATACGTTGCATATTCTTGCTTCACTGCCTCTACCCGTGTGGGCCTTTTGGCCTGGAGTGCCCTCCCTGCATTCCAAATGCCTTCATGTTTCCTGCCTTAGCTAGAATATCGTGCATTCCCTCCACTGCAAAGCCTTCCCCAAAGGCCAGGAAGGATCAGATGCGGCCGTGACATTTTTGTGTTCATTTCTAATATAAGCCTGCCATACTGCTGTAGTACCATTTTGTGCCCCTGTGACTTTCTTCTTTAGACAGTGAGCACTTTGAAGGCATAAAGGCAAAAACCATCCTTTCCCTTCAGTAGCCCTTGCCCAGTTGCTCAGTCATGCCGTTGGACAGGTCCTCTTTATGAGCACATGGTGCCGTGCGTAGTGCCAGGCGGTGATCCAAGTGTTTGACAGATGCTTGTGAAGGAATGAATGAATGAATACCAGCATTACTGACACAGAGAGGGCCTGACCTGCAAATAACCAGAATATGTGTGCTAATCAGCAGTATACAATATAGGAGGACATCAGGGAAGGGAGGAACCAGTCGTACATAGGATAAACATGGAAGCTGTAGTATTTTGGGATGGGCTTCAAGGTTCTGATCAGAAGGGATGGGGGGGTGTACAAGATTAGGTGGGAGAGCATGACTCAGGAGAAATACAGAGGCAGGAAGGTAGAAATGATCAGGCGAGGCTGGGAATGAATGCCGTGTGGGTGTGGGACCATCGCCATGCAGGCCATAGGACCAGGTATACCAGCTGGCCTCTCAACAGTTTGGAAAGAGGTTGTTCCCTCAGCCAGGAGACATGCTGTGTGGGTGGAGAGCTGACTACCAAAACCCAACTAAAAGTCTGCTTCTGCTGGGGCTGGGGGGTGGCTGTAGGCTGCACTCGTCAGCACGCTGCCCACTCGGTCCACGCAGCTGTCGGCCATGCAGCTCCTGCCTTTAAAGCCCATATTCAGGGACAGATAGGGCCTCTCCTGTCAAGATGTTCACTATCTCAGAGTGATTAGAACAAAAGCACATGTAATCAATGGAAATAACACACAGATAAATAAAACTGTTAAAAGAGTACTACTTTGGTCTAAGAAAAACAGGTCATATTTGATAAGAAGAGATGGTGGAGGCTGGAGGGTATTCTGGGCAGGCATGGGGAGGCAGAGAAAAGGGAAGATGTGGGCCAATCCTCTCACCCGTGGAGGCCCAGGGCCCCGACTCTCATTCCTGGTACTCCCTGGACACAGGTAGGAGGTGGCCCTATGGGCACCACTCATTGGCGTGCAGAAGCATGTTGGTCTCATCATTAGAATCGCTCAGGATTTACAGATACGTGGTCCGATGAAAATACAGTCACTTAAGGTTTTCCCCCCTTTCTTTTTCATTTCAGAATCATACGATGACCCAACACAGCAGTTAGTGACGTACAGTCTCTCAAGGAGAATTACTTTTGTGGCACAAAAAGGGAACATGTTTTACTCTTTGCACGAAACTCTCATTGTTAATGTATATTATTCAGAAACATTGTATTGTACCATAAAACTTGTATTATCAAAACTGTTGGATGTTCATGTGTTTGAACTTTTGAGCACCGGATAGACTCCTTGTATATAAAGTGTTGCACATGTATTATGTTGTCTGATACTAAAATGGTCTTATAAAGACAAGTGGACTTGGGCCTTATTCAGGCAAGATGAAAAAAAAAATGTGAGCAAAATGGCTTAAGGAAACGTATTTTCAAGGAAGATAGATTAAAACAACTATGTCACACATGACACAATATTTGGACTTCCTTTTATTTACACTTAAGCCTAGAATTTCTCTTTTGGTTTATCAACAGTTAAACCCAAGACTATTTTTTATTGCTGAAGATTCTCGCAAACCGCAAAGAGATATTCTCACACAACAGAACCCCACAGCTGGATAAGGCCCGTATATATATTTGTAAGCCTTGCCGTGTGACAGATAGCATCACTATATATGCAATAGTTGTTATGTAGACGGTCAAAGAATTTTTTTTTTCCTGGATACATTTGAAGCTTTGAGTGTTCAAGGTTTTCCTTAATGATTTCACACAGCCAAATTCTTGAATCAGTTGAACTAACCTGTATGTTACTGTTATTAATGTTTACTCTGCGGTCTGAACCTGGAGATTACTGGAATTGTTTTCCAAGAGGAAATAAATTCAGTTTACCATTAGGTACGAGTGTATTTGTTGTGTTTTCTTTTTCTAGGGACTACCATTAAAAAAAAAAATCTAATTGCCTGCACCCTTGGAAATGAAATCTTCGTTTGAGCTTATCACAGGCATAATCTCAATCATATTTAACCTTTTCACACTGGGCCAAATGCCGCTTGGGAGGGGATCCGTCTTACTGCAAAGGGAAGGAATCGGACCCAATATACGTCTTCTCTCTCAGATACTACCAGGTCACGTTTTACTGGAGGATTCTGACATCACAGATGGATGTGATGGCTGTTTTCTGCATAATTTGCAGCCCAATTCATGTCGTGCTGTGCAAATCTGAACTCAAAGTAGATGGCTGCAATTTGAGAGGCAGTTTGGCGTATGTGTACTTAAGAAGCAGCTTTGTTCATTCAGAAGACAAAGCACAGAGCAGGGAGCCAGGGGCTGTCAGAGTGCCGCCCAGGCACTGACTCCCAGCGTGCTCTTCTCCAAGCGCTCCGCCTCCCGGCCTTAGCCGGGTGTGGCGGCGGCGGGAAGGGGGAGGAGAGGTGGGACACAGCCTGGCCATTGGCCTTCATGCAGGTGTGGGGTGTCTCTGGAATATTTCTGGCACCACAGCCTGCCACAGAATGGTGAATGCATAAGAGCTCTAATTTCAGAGACTTTTTTCCTTTTTTTGGAAAGAAGAGAACAGCAATGTGTAAATTGAGTCCTAATATATTTAGTCAAAATTGGTAAATATATGTGATATTAACAGGCATTCAACCACATCATACTTCAAGTATTTCACTCACTATTGACCTCTTGGAAACTCTGAGGGCCTCAAGCAGATCTTTAGACCTTATCCAACCAAGAATCCTCAAAGCAGTTTTTGACAGGGAAACTAAAGCCTGGATGGATTTACTTGATTGCGACCACCTCTCACCGGGGGAACCAGGAATGGCACGTAGATTACCAGCATCGCCAGGCACAGTCCTCACCCCCTGGTTCCCAAACCTCCACCTGCATCAGGATCACCCAGAGGACCTGTTACACACCAGGGTGCTGGACCTGATGCCCAGAACTGCTGTTTCAGGAGGCCTGTGGTTCGGAGGTGCTCAGAACTGTGCAGTTCTAAGAAGTTCCCAGGGGTACCAGGGCTCCTGGTGTAGGGGCCACACTTTGAGAACCACTGTTCTACCCCATTGCCACATTAGCCAAATGCACTAAATGTAAATAACCATGCAGAGTGCTGTCAAATTATACTATTTTGTTACCAATAAATAAAAAGTTTGGTCAAATTTAAGATCATTCAAAAACAAGTACCTCATAGTGATTCAAGTATATGTGCTTGCCAGTTTCATGGTGCATTTAGTTTTTTAATGCTAGGGAAACCTGCATCTATACATTTCACAGTGGATTGCCAGCATGCTATTTAATTAAAAAGCTTTTTCACCAGCTACATAAATAATAAACTATGCTAAGAATATGCAAGTACATTCATAATTAAAATACTCAGCTATATTTAAGAAAAAATTAAGATCTCTGGTCTATTCAAGGATTTTGCATTTAAAATGAAATAGACACACACACTTAATAATGATTTCTTTAAAAAGCTTTACAACTTCTGGTTCTTATGAGTGGGTTATATTTCACTAAAAGTAAGCTGCTCTTCATTCCTGGAAGCAAATTAGGTTGTTATCCCAATGATGGATACCAAGTTGCTTTAAACAGCTTTCCAGATTCCCAGTAAACAGCAGTTGTTGCATTCTTAGGAAGTAGTAGAGGCGTGTGTGTATCTTTTCCTAGAGGCCACCACCCAGCTGGTCATGTGCTTGGTTAATACTCCAGTGACAGGAGGCTGTTCAAATTTAGCATGTCCATCTTTGCATCATAAATACTAAGCAGGACAGTAATGAATAGAATAGTCTTTCCCTTTTTCTGCTGATATCAACCTTGTTGATATTTATTTTCTACTTCATTTCCTAAGAATGTAAGAGAACTTAAAGGTTAACAAAATGTTAGTAGGAAAATCAGCATCATGTGGGGGGGGGGCTGGGAAGGGGGAATACACTATCATGGCCTTGATTCTGTTTCAAATTTGATTTGGAATGCATTCTAGCATTGGTTTTTGAGCTTCCTGGAAGAAAAGGAAAAAAAAAAAACAGAAAGAATGTACCAGTTCCTTAAGAGAAATTTTTTTTCCTAGCACTTAATTCCAAAAGGAAATTCGCAAAACCTTAATACTGCATGTAGGTGGCCAGTACAGTAGCCACTATTCCTGACCATTACATATGATGTAATGGAGTGGTTCTCACCTGGAGGAATGCTACTGTGTCTGTGGCTAGAGGCCCGCGGCTCTGCTGAGCATCCAGTCTGCAGCACAGGCCCTCAGAACCAAGAATTCTCAGGCCCCAAATGTCAGTAGTACTGAGGTTGAAAAACTGCCCTAATGTGAAGTTTTCTATGATTTTTCTAGGACCTTTGTAGTTTGGAACCACCTGGGAACTTTAAAAAACTGCTGCCAGGAACCCACTCCAGTGAGTCCGACTTACCTGGTCTACAGTACGAGCGGGGTGTCTACTGTGCCCCTGGGTGGCTCTGGGGCAGCCACATTTGGGAACTGGTGGGCCACACTACCATTCTCAGCCAAGGCTGCCGGACTCAAGACTAGGAATCTGAAAATAACATCCAAGGCGTAGAAAAGTAGTATGGGCCTCAGACCCTCTTCCCCCAGCATTACCTTTTACAACTGAAATTTAATGATTCTTTCAATGAAAAGTAACATAAAAGCCAAGTTTGGGGAAATGGGGACACTGACCTAGAATCCCATCACCCTTAACACCTGGTCCAGGATGACAAACTCAGTGAGTGAGAAATCTGGCCCAGCGGGGACTCTGGCAGCCTGGAGAGCAAACGCTCCCATCAGCTGCCCCAACGGCTGCCTGGAGGGAAGGCAGCCTGCCGAGGCCAGATTGCCCAGTGTCTCAGGAGAAGCCAGCACCCCAGGTGGTTACGTGCCATGTGCCAGTTGCTAAATGCTGGCAACCCACTCCGTTTTTTACTCACACTCTGCTGACCCCCACTGTGCCGGCCATATGAGAAACACTTTCAGGCCAGGTCGCACTCTTGCATTGCTGGTTTTGACCTTTGGTATGAATTTTTTTTTTTCTGTTTTTTTCAGGCAATTTTAAATGTGTGTTTTAAAATAATGTTAAGATTTTTGCATATCAGAGTTTAAGTTGTGCTTTAAGTTAGCCTCACAAGCAGTTTTGAAGTTGCTCTGCAGCCTTCATGTTTATACTGCTTCAGATTGAGCAGTAATCCACTAAATGGGTGTGTCCTCTCTAAGCCTACTCTTCTGGATGTTTTGAATTAAAACGATTGTTTTTTTAATGATGGATAACAAGGGGTAGAAAGTCAGTATTCTCTGTTGCAAGTCAGACATGCTTTAGTCCATGTTGCTAATGGAGGCTTTGGAAATCGTGCAAATGGGTGGCAGGCTGGACATCCTACTTTGAACGCTGATGAGCATAACCAGGGTCCCAGTGCAAATGGAAGGAAGTGGCACCAGAGACGCCTCTGGGGTCCCCACAGACTGCTGTAGGCTCCTTGGAACAGGCCCTAGGGCTGTCCCAGAACTTGGCTGAGGACTCCAGTGAACCCCTAGTTCCACTCAGTAGAGCATGGCAGCCCCAGTCTGTGCCTGTTGGGGTACAACACTGCAGAACCCCTGAGAAAGGAAGTTTGAAAACCCAGATCCCATTAGAAACCACCTGCAAACACTCTCCATTCGGCTCCAGCAGGGCCAAGCCTCTCACCATCTCCCTTGCACGGAACAGTTCTACCGAAGGTGCTGAAAACTCCAGAGTGGGTGAGGGTAAAACGGCCCAGCATGGGTTTCTGGCAAGATCCCAAAGCTCAGGCCCGGCTGGCACTGCATTCCTGGGCTAGAGCCCCTGGGGCGCTGAGGAGTAGCCAGGACCATCTCTGCCAGATTCCTCTGTAATGAAGTCAGCTGTCAGCTCCCTGGGGGGAACAGCACAGAGCCCCTTTATTTCCAAGCAGGTGTTGCAGCATATTAAAGGTTGAATTCCATCTTATGCTCACATCCTGAATGAGCCAGTTTGCAGGCAAGCCCAGATCTTTCTGCAAAGAGGGAAACTTGGCACTGGTGGAGACTGGGTACTTAAATGGCAATCAACTTCTGGCTCATATCAATTAATTCCTTCATGGACTTCTGCCTAAGTATAGCATCTTGAATTCCCAGCTGCAGAGCCTAGGAAAAACAGCCCGAACAACCCTCACCGCCATCTCAGGGAGAGCGTGGGGCTGCGAAAGTGCTGGGAATGCTGTCTCGGGGCAGCACTGTGTGCCAGTTCAGGGCTCT